AGTCCAAGGAGCTGCCGAAAGATGTAATCTGGCATACCAAGCGCCCCCAGTTTGATCGTGTGTCGTATCTGACGCTGCTGGCTCACCGCGGAAGCACGGGGCTCTTGCTGGCGCGGGATGTCTCCCCAGAGACGGTGGGCAAGGATGGCCAGCACCGCGCCGGTTTAGCTGCCCGCCGACCTCAGGGAGCAGGGGCGCAAGGAGGTCAGGAAGATCAACATCGCACTGAGGCAGCCGGCATGCGGGTGCTGCAAGTGCGAGCTCCTGGGCAGACGTTGGAAGGGCCTAATCCGGGCTCCTCGCGGCTTGCCGGACCTAGGAGCAGACTGGTGCGTTGGCTGGCGAAGCCCAACCTGTCGGGCTCCGTAACGCAGAGCACGCTATGCTGGTCTACTGTAGTATCCTCTACCAGACACCTGGTCGGCCCGTAGCACTGACTGGAGCACACCAGGTGCCATGCATCGTCTCGGGCCGGGATGCTCTTAAGCTGCGAAATAGCAACATCGACCACGGAGGCAGTTATGTTGAGAGCTTCAAGGGATGGGCGTTGGTAATCAGTGGTCCTGCTGAAAGCTCCACTGAAATACTCGTAAATGGCCTGAAACTCCTGCTTCTGACCCAGCAGCTCTCCGTCTTGGGTACGGATCCGCACCTTCTCTACTCGCTTTTTGGGGGCAAGCTGATTGATAACCCGATAAACCTCAGACTGATTGGGCTGCTGCGATGCTTTTTCAGCAAGGATTATCAGTTCTTCAATGTGCTGTCTTCTAGCTAATCTGCTGGTCTTCTGCAGGGCGCGAACGCTGGCTTTAAAGGATGCAAAGTGCCTCCATGCCTGCCATATCTCCGTGCGGTCTGGGCAAGGACCCATGCTCTTCAGCAGCCGATGCTGACGCCACATTTCCGCAATGCAACTCTTGACCGCTGGCGCATCACGGGGTCGAGGGGCATTAGCAGGGCGATTAGGGTAGAGAGCCTTATAAGTGGTCTAAAACAACCCTATTGAGTTCAGTGAGGCGGGCGCTGGGGGCAATGGCATCTTGGGTTTGAGCAAGGGCTGAGAGCATGGTCTGACGCAGTTGCTCTGGACGCCTAGTCATGACAAAGTCAAGCTGTGCGCGGACCTGTTGATTACGAACAGTGTGACTCCTACTGGGCGCAGCCGATCCCCAAGAATTAAGGAGGGTTAATATGGTGAGCCTGAAGAAGGGCCTCAAAGTCGGGGTCCGCATGACGATCTATCTGAAGAATCCCACGTCCTATAAGGCCAGGCAGCGGCTTGATACCAGAGTTGACATCAAAGCCCATTATCAGCAGATTACGCACAGGAAGAGTGTGTAGGAGCGCGCCGAGTTTATTCCAGAATCCATGCCGGAGTCTCGCTATCACCTCCTTCCGTCTCTCTTGCCATACGTGCTGATACCCAGCAACCAGATCCAGAGTCACCTTGGGAAGAACACAGCGAGCATGCAGGAGTCGTCCCGGTATCAGCGCGTTGTACGCGATCTGAGCTCGCGACGATATGAAGATACCAACTCCACTGTACCTGCTTGACGGGTCAGGACTTATAATCGCATTCCACGTTCCAATTTGCCAGCTAGCTTCCTGCTTACCACAGCCCCAGTGTAACTCCTGTGCAAAAACAATGTCCGCATCTGGTTGTTTTTGCAGCCAGTCACAGAAAACATCATATGAGGCAGGATCCAGTCCGCCCAGATTACGAGTCATAGCACGGACGCGCGGTCGATGCGGTGCAGTCCGCCTGGTCGTTCCCGTGGATCCAGAGCTACCCGAAGCAGCTGGTTCACTGCTTTGATGCATGGTACCCAAAGATCTCGCAGTCCTCCATTCTCCACGATACCAGGTGGCACCATGTGCCTTTGCTCGGCGCCTGGCACGCCTGTACGCTCGTTTTCGTACATTACTCATCGGAGCAGCCTTCGCTTCTCCATATCCAGGGTTTTCATCTCCGAAGAGACTTCAGTACCAGCTGTGGGACAAGGTACAACCCTCGGGTCTGCCGACATGTAGGCTCGTTGCAAATTCGGAGCAGCCGTCGTCAGCCACGGGAATTGGGACCCGTGCAGCCAGAGAAGGTATCTTGAATCAGAAACAGTACCGGCAGCCAGCTTGGAACAATCGCCATGAACCCTCGCAGGACCGCGCTCTAACTCACCCTCGTGCTCCAGCCGAGACCCTTAGTAGTAGTAGTAGTAGTAGTAGTAGTAGTAGTAGTAGTAGTAGTAGTAGTAGTAGTAGTAGTAGTAGTAGTAGTAGTAGTAGTAATAGTAGTAATAGTGGTAGTAGTAGTACTACTACTACTACTACTACTACTACTACTACGACTACTACTACGACAACTACTACTACTACAACTACTACTACTATACTACTATTACTACTAGTACTAATACTAGTAACTTGCACGCACAGTGCCATGACGGAGTTCTTCTTCACGTTACGATGTTCTTAAGAGCAAGCTTGCACGGCTTAAAACAGCCGGGGGGGGGGGGTTGGGGCGGGCGCAGCCCGCCCCATTAGCAAACACAATGCCTGTATGACGGGCTCTGAAAGGGCTCACATGGGTTTGAAGTAATTCAAGCAGTTCCTCTAGATGGCGCCATGTTCTTTAAAGCAAGCTTACGCAGCTTGGAAAATCGTGGAGGTTGGCACTGAGGGCGATGTTGCTTAAAGCAAGCTTGCACTGCTCCAAATGCGGGGGGGGGGTCAGGGGGGCACAGCTTGTCTCTCTCTCTCTCTCTCTCTATCTCTGTGTGCCTTTTTTGGGTATGTCATTCTTTTGTTTTCATATTTCTGTCTTTAGTTCAAACTTAGTTCTTTCGTTTTGCTTTCTTTTCCGTTTCTCCTTCTTTGCTGCTTTAGTGCCTTCGTTCTTATTTCCGGCAGCACTTTGTTCTTGTATTTCTTCCTGTTGGCATTGTCTCCCGTCTGTCTGTCTTTTTTCTACTATGTTGCTTTGTCCTTTATATTTCGTTCTTCCTTCCTTCTTTCCTTCTTTCTTTCTGTCTCTCTGTCTTTCTGTCTTTCTGATTTCCTGAGTTTGTTGTTGCTTTCTTTCTGTATTGCTTTCTTCCTCCCCGTTCTTATTTCGCTATTTATTGCTTCATTGCATTGTGTTTCTCTCTTTCTCTCTATCTGTTGTTGTCTTAGGCTTTGGAGACAAGGAACGACCATGTGATACAAGGATTTTGGGTGTAATTTGAGATATCGGCGTAACATCGGGGCAGATAGAAACAAACATGTCAGAAACGACAGTCAACGAGCGCGAATGCTCCACGCACGTGCTGGCCCCCTCTCTGCTCTTTGTTGGGCTGGTGACCCGGGCCGTGCAGAAGCTGTACTCCGTGGACCCTCACCGATCCTCACCCCTCCGTCTGCACTTGAAGCACCTCCGTGCTTTGTTGCCAAGAGGCTGCCGGAAGCAACCATAGCTACTGGCGTGCGCGGCAGATTTAAGAGTGAAGCTTCCGAAAAACATGACAAGGGCATTCACCGTCTGAGGATGGCTTCTTTCCTTGCTTGTTTCCGTCCTTGCTTGTGTCCTTCTTTCTTTCCTTCCTTCCTTCCGTTCTTCCTTCCCTCCTTCCTTCCCTCCTCTTCCTTGCTTCCTCCTTTCCTTCCTTCTTTCCTTCCTTCCGTCCTTCCCTGCCTCCCCTCCCCTGGTTTAATTTTTTGTTGATCCTGATTTATTTTCTTGATCCTGATATGCTTTTTGATCTTGATTTAGTTCTTTTTGATCCCTATACCTCTCCCACATAGGGCGAGGTGTCGCAGCTGGCTTTGGTGACAATGGTCGCACATCCTCCTGTGCTGCGTAGTCTTAACTGTCCCCACCACTCTGAGCAGCTGCTGCAGCGCTCATGGTAGACCACACCGGCCACGACGCCGAATGTTCACCCCTGCCCCAATGCCAGCGCGCGGAGTCATAAGCGCAGCTGCTGTTGCCTCGCCGCTGACTACCAGATAGGAAGCCAGGCACCGCTACCACTGTCACACATGTGACAGTGGTCAATGATCGAAACGCTCCAGCACCGCCACTGTTTTGGCTCGTTCGCGCATGACAAACAAAGGGCAGGTCGGGTTGTCAAAGTGCACACAGCATTACTTAGGAGGTTCACAGGTCAGGGTCTAACAAACACAAGAAGATCATTCAGGCAGGCTCATTAGAACGAAACTACAACGAAATGAACGCAAGAACACGCTTGAAATCCAGGCAAGATCAGTGCAACGAAATTAAGACGAAATGAAGGCAAGAACACCGGGGCAGAATCATTGCAACGAAATTGAAACAAAAAGCTGATAGCATCCAAACAGGTTCATTGCAACGAAATGAGGACAAAATGAACGCAAGAACATCCAGGCAGGATCATTGCAACGAAAATCACCCGAAGTGAACGCGCTGTTCCACACTCACCACATGCATCAAAAGCTCGTTTGGAGATCTTTGGCACCATGCATGATTTTACAATCGTCGAAGCGTCCAATGCATATATGAACACTTCCACACGCACCACATGCATCAAAAGCTCGTATGGAGGTTTGCACACCATCCAGACTCACCACATGCATCGAAAGCTCGCTTGGAGATTTTGGGCACCATGCATGGTGTTATGGTCGTGGGGGCGTCCAGTCTATATGCTCATGTAGCTACAGTGACAGCACTGTTTAAGAAATCACTGGATTAAGAAACGAGCACCCTCAACCTGGGGACCCGCGGCTGGCATTTGCGAAAGACGAGAGCAAGACTAAACTAAGACATCGAGGGTACCCTCACCCCCGGGGACCAAAGTTTCTTAACTTTGCTTTTTTGTAACCCCCACCTCAAGTATAGCACGCCATGATTCTCAGTGGTCAGGGCTCAAAACACGCAGCTGGGAGTTGAAGCAGAGACCTTACCCACTAAGGCGCTGCCAATATCACTAAGCTACAAATAGGAGAGAACTTGAGAAATTGAGGGGCTGGATTTCTTAAACTTTAAGAAATTGAGCGGCTGGATTTCTTAGTTCGGTTTGGCCATAATACGGCCATAACAAGAGCTATATATTGCTATAATAATTCGGGCTTAATGTGGCCACAAAGGCTTAATATAGCCATAATAAGGCCTTAATATGGCCATAGTAAGGGCGTAATATGGCCGGAATGGGGGTGTGCCGGGCCGCCGAAATTGAGGGGCTGGATTTCTTTTTTTATGTAGCGGATTTCCTCATTTCCAGGCTGGGGATTTAAGAAATAGATTAAGACGTCGAGGGCACCCTCACATTTCTGGGTTTTTTTAATTCAAGGGCGCTTCATAATTAAGAAATCGAGGGAATTAAGACTCATCACATGCATCAAAAGCTCAATTGGAGATTTTGGACACGATACACGGCATTACGATCGTGAGGGGGGCGTTCAATGTGTTGAATTAAGCGCATGTTTCAGCTGATCTTAGAACGCCGCACATCCTGAATATGTTGAAAACGGTGTTTAAGCGCATGTTCAAACTGTTCCCGAAACTCTTGTTTAAACGGCGGCGTGCCACACACCTCCAATATGACGCTAAAACGCATGTTCCACATAAACTGTTCCTGGAGCGCCACACATCCCGAGTGCGTTTGAACCGCTGTTAAAACGCATGTTTAAACTGCTTCTATAGAGTACATGTTCACGCCCGTGTTTACGCGCGTGCCTAACGTATTCTGTTGCTTGAGATTCCTTGAGTGCCACACATCAAAATGTCGGTTAAACCTATATCTCAACGCATGTTCAAACGTTCATTGAATATCAACGCATGTTCAGTCTGTTCCTGCAGCACCACACATCCCGACAATGTGTAATCCCCGAGTCTAAGCGCATCTTTAAACTATTCCTGGAGTGCCACACAGCCCGAATCTGCTTCAACAGATGTTGTAACGCATGTTTAAACTGTTCCTTGAGTACCACGTGTCCCGAATATGATTAAACCGATGTTTCGATGCATGTTTACAATTTCGGGTCAAAAGCCTTGACACTTTCTTCTGCGATGGATGGTTCTGGTCGGTGTTTCAGAAAAGCACCGGAACGACATCGCACGGGCGTTCGGTTTCCTGGGCGAAACTTTCGACGCCCAACACGCTGGATATTGCCGAAGTTTCATGACACAGCCATCTCAAGCATTTCACAAGCATTCATTCGACATTGTGACATCGGCTGCTCACCCAACTTCAGCAGATAACGATTCTCAGCAGAGTGCATGCAGAGGATCCAACCCACATGCACGCTTCCGTTGGCAGCTCCCTACCGTCAACATGCGCTAAATCTACATGGCTCACTACCGCTGTTTTCTCCACGTTAGAAAACGTTTTCGAGCCTCACCGAACATCGGGATGGGTGTGAAAAAGTGCTCCGGGAGAACTGGACGACGTGGCACGGGCATTTGGTTCTCTAGAGGATGCTCGCCACATCCCATCAGCGACCAACACTCCGTGACCTTGACAAGCATGCTTGAAAAGACGATGCTTGGCAGCACATCTTCAAATGACACCTAACCAGTGGTTTTGGGGTTCCCTGGGCTCTTTAGCTCCTTATTATATTCAATGGGGATTATCATCATCCCTGGCTCCTTAGCTCCTCCAATATCAAAGGTTAGTACACATACATCACATGGAAACTGTTTCTTTATGAAATACCGCGAGGTAGCAATTTGTGCACATGCTGCCGCCCCCGATCCTCCCAAACAACAGCTGCTATTACCATGATGCAACCTGAAGTCCACGCACCTCCGAAGATCTTGCTGCTCAGGACGCTGCTATGAACGATCTCAAAGTCTGGTGCCTGCAAATGAACTTGCTGGCGCAACCCGTCCAAGCCAACACTAGCAATTTCGGAGCCTGCGAAGCGTGGTGATGACAATGATTATGCAGCCGAAGCATACGCGTGCATGGAGACTGGACCCTGCGTGCCCTCGCGAGAAAGCGACCGCCGGTGTTCCGATCTGCCATGCACGCACATGCTCGGGATGGATATGTTCACTTCACGACTAGAACTGCAAGAATGGCAGAGACAGGTGTTCATGCCCACATGCCCAAGTCAACAGAAGCAAGGAAGCTGTCTCCTGGACTTATGTCTGGCGCTTCTGCTCTCCTCTCGAGCATGCTAAGTCCTCCACAATGCGAGCGTGGGTGACATGGACCAGTCCTTGGAACTACACTTGGCCGAAAACTGTTACACAAAGCAAGCGAATTGAACTAGCGTCTCTGTGCACTCTGTAGCTCAGTAGCTGGTACGGTTAGCTAGGGCGCCATGGTCGATATGCAGGCCGCAGACAGGCCACATGCGGTTTGTTGCTGAGGCCAGGGCGGACTGCCACACTGCTCCGGAGCTGCTTCTGCGAGGTGATCAAACTTGTGAAGATACAACGTGGAATCGTCGGTCACGCCGTCCATGCTGTAGACGGGCTGCTGCATGCGGTTCTCCACCGGGCAAAACTGGCCGGACCGGTATGCCTCGCCTGGGACCGCCACCATCAAGCACTGCTTCAAACGGGTTACATTCCGTGACCTTCACGTGAATGGAAGTGAGGTTTGAGGTAGTGGACACCGTATGCACCGCTTTGTAGCAGGTCTTGTCCGCGCGGCACAGGGCACGGCACTGTGCGACTGCACTGGCACTGCTCGACGTCGTGGCGTTGGCATCGCTCGCAGCACTGACATTCGACATTTGATGGGAGAGCGCAATCAGCGGAGCAAAGTCATCCTGCCCGATGCTTCATTCGAACTCTGCCAGCCAAGCTCTCCAAAGCCCTAAGTCTACCAGAAACAACTCGTATCACTGGCTTCGCGGCTCTGTCCGGCCGACCCCTCGTCCAGCAGGAAATCGGCCCAGCAAAAGCCGAAGCTGGCACCGAGGCTGCGAGGCCCGGCAGTGCTTCAGCAACTCCACCGCCGGTGCGCCTGCAGACACCGCTGCAGCAGGCAGCTCAACAAGAGCTGGACAGTGCCCCGCACCTGCAAGCTGCCCCAAGCTGGTCAGGTGGAACACGTCCAGCCCGTCCTGCGGGCGAGCTGAGCACATTCCCAAAAGCAGACGAAAGCAAATAGCTTTGAACAGTCTTTGTTCTTGCTCTGAGCTCTCTGAGCTCTCCAGCCTTGGTCAAGACGCCGCGCCGGGCCTCAAAGCGGGTGCCGTTGCCGCACTCCACGTGGTATGCCACAGGCGGGTCAATCTCGGCTTCTTGTGGAGAGCTCAAAACGGAGGACAGGCGGTAGCTCGTCGTGGATCGGCCAACCACAGGCTCACCTCATTGACCTTGACCCACTTGCGCGAGGCCTCTGAGACCAGGAAGAGCTCAGAAGGCTCGTTGGCAGCCACCAGGTCTCTGTAGACCGTGTCACCATGGTGCAGTTGCCCCACTCACCCTCCAAGCACCCCTTGGCGCTGACCTTTGAGCATGACAAACACAGATCATGCTTGCAGCCCAAAACACACATGACGCAACTTCCACCATGGGCAGATGTAGCCTAGATGCTGTGCAGCCGGCAGTGCGCGGGATGGGTGGCTTGCCGTTCTGCGAGATGGTGCCCAGACCGTCAATCTGTGCCCAGGGCAAGTCTGGCGTGCAGCGGAGCTTGAACTGATCCCAGAATCCATGAAACGCTGGAGCGAAGGTCTGATTTGGGTGGGTAAAGGTCAGGGCACTGCCGCTGTATGCGAAGTGCACCACTCGAATCTGAAGGCTCGCGAAGGTCTCCGGTATGATTAAATCGGAGCCTGGTGGCCGCGAGGCGGTAGCAGTGATCTGGCAGGCGATGGTCTGGGGCTCTAGCGAGTGCAGCTCACCGAATACCTGCAAGGATCAGACATGGCCTGTGATGCATCCACAAACCTGCACACCGCTACTAGCAGCTAACTAGCAGCGCGCCTTGCCGGTTCGCCCGTCCATGGTCAAGTTCAGTTGGTGCACCATGCACTGCTCCGTGAGGTAGGTAGCATCCAGGCGCGGTAAGGGCAGCATGTCCACGTTGGTTTTGCCGCAGGGCACGTTAAGAGCGGCGTATGCAAAGGAAGAAGCTCCCCGCACCCCACCCCCACAAGCGCAGCAAGCCTCCGCCGCAAGCAGGCCCTGATTCACGGTGAGATTCACATCATGGGCCCTGCCCGTAACTCGCTTGGAAGCCCAGATGGGAAAGCGAACCATGCATGTACTCAATGCCAGAGGCAGTCTCCAAACCTCCTTGCCCAACCGTACCGTGGCTCAGCAAGGAAGCTCGACTGCACTGCGGATCAGCCTTGGACTTCTATGACACGTTGACAAGTCTTGCGGCTTTGGGCAGACTCATGTGTATTGACAGGATATGGCAGCTCGTTCTAACCTTTGGAAGGCAAGGTGCAATGTGGGGTGAAGTTCGCAGGGCCCACCACGGGAGCGAGGTTCTGGACCTGTTTAGCTCCGGGATGTACTGGACAACCTCAGATACCTTTGTGGCCGAGGATTTCTGGGCGCGGTGCTGCAGCACTCGACCCTGTCACAGCACAGGCTGTGACATCCGCTGCGGCGATAGCCACGAAACAATCAGCGGCTGCAACAAGCGCAAACCAAAGGTGCATGGCTGACGGTAAAATGGAGACAGAAAGTTGTGTGACCGTTTCGACGTTGAAACTTTGAGCACAGTCACGCTGCGGAGAATGCAATGGTACAGCAGAACCCCTTCCAAGAGGCAAACACGCGCGAATCCGTCTAACCGTCAACTGTTCAACTGCTTCATGCGACGATCTCGCTGAATGTCTCGATTCGAAGGTGGCTCCGTACCGCATGCGCTCTACAAGCTAACGACGGCGCAGCCACGGCAGGAAGATCCAATGGTGACACTTTTGGCACGCCGTGTGTCTTGAGACAACGGTGCCAGGGCACAGAGCACCTCGAGTGCATCGTTAAAACCATCCAAATTCCTAGTAGCAAACCAGCAAGGAAGACACAGTTCAATCTGCTCCAGCTACATTCGCTTTCGTGACTATGACCTGCTTTCGGCTGCCTGCTAATCTGCCGACCCAGTGAGGGAAGGCTGGGCAGGATCGGAAATAAGAACTAAGCATGATATGGTACACCTACAACATCCTACATGCAGAAGTTCGCCTGTCAGCTTCAGCTCTTCTCCACAAGCGTCGGCTCGGACTTGGACTGCTGCAGCTGGCTACCTGGCAGCAGTGCTAAGCCCAAGCGGCATCCTCCAAGCCCACGAAAGATGCATTGGGAAAGCATTCGCTCGACAGCTTTCGGAATGACGTCTTGCAGGCGCGTTCACCCATCCGCCTGTCATCACCAGAAACACAGATGCAGCCATTCGGGAATCTTCTACACTGCACGAGCCCTTGAACAGCCCCTGAAGTCCATCCGAGCCGTCATCACTCTGACTCAGCTTCAGCTGCAGCCGCGGGCTGTCACACCCCAGCAGGGCAATGGAGCTTTCTTGAGGGGCTGTTTTGAAAAATCAACACCCCAGCACTATCGGCAGTGCTCTTTGGCAAGTGTCAGAGCCGCCAGTGCGATAAGTTATGGTCGCGGCAGCATGAACACAATTCTCAGCATGTTGGTCAGTGCCCAGAAGTTGTCAGCCGTCGCCCAGCAGCAGGAGCAGCGGGAGCAGCAGGAGGAGCAGGAGCAGCGGCAGGCAGGAGCGGGAGGAGCGGGAGGAGCAGGAGGAGCAGGAGGAGCAGGAGGAGCAGGAGAAGCAGGAGTAATAGGGGTAGGAGGAGGAGGAGAAGGAGGAGGCGGAGGAGCTGGTGGAGCAGCAACACCACAAGTCGTGGCAAAGTGGAAACAGTGCCATGCATGGGGAGCAGGTGACTGTCGCCATAGCAGAGTCTCAATCAACATGCAGAGAAGGGAGGCCTTTCTCATCCAGCTTCGGCAGCAGAAGTCTGCCACCTGAATATGCCAAGAGACCTCCCGCGCACTTCGGGAAGGCTGGCGATGCTGGGGCGGCCTCCTTGAGCTTCCCAATCTGGAACCCTGCACGAGGCAAAGAACTTCCGCCGCAGCCGTATCGACAAGACGACGGTCCTGGATTTCAACTCCGACAAGGACTTCTTGGCGGCCTCAGACACTCCGCTCATCGCTGCACCCTGTAGTTTAACAAGCGGTGCAGTGGATAGCCGACATGGTAGACTTGCTATCCGGCTGAAGCACTACTCGGCCCTGCCACCCGGTGATCCTCCCTCACTCAAGAACCCTGGCTCTCAAGAACCGGGCGGGTGCAAGGAGTGGAAGTGGTTCCCGTGGCAGGGCCTGGCCAGCATGTCACACAGCAGGTGGGCTCGCACCCTCTTTCACCAGGAAGAGGTAACAAGGGCAGTGATCAATCGTCACGATCGATGACCAGTTTCACCAGTATCACCATCTCGCTCGGCTTGTCTTCTAAGGATCCTTGCCAACAAGCCTCGAAGATGACGTGGCTGTCGCTCCGCTTCGCCTGGCTCATGCGACGGCCGCGCTGGTCCTTCCAGGCCTGGCACCCGAGGAAGGAAGACGACAAAACAAGGTGTGCGTCGCTCCACTGTCCCCTGGCACAAACGCCCAAAAACGGAGGAAGGCACGACGTGCCTCGCCAGTGGCCATGGCATGCGGCGCCTTCTCTCGCACCCGGAACTTCCAGAACCTTTGCAAAATCTCACAGCAAAGCCAGCACAGCTGGGCTCGGTTCGAACTGAGCTTCGAGGGCCCCTGCCAGTCGTTAGCCGCCGGAGTGCTTAGGCCGACCTCTCCGAAACACTGCAGCAGCAATGCCTCCACACCGACGCTTGTCCCCGGGCTGAAGTCGTGCCAGCGCACGCAGTAAGCCTCGCAAAGAAACGCACTGCGAGAAGGCTCCGAAAGCAGACAGCGGAGGCGTCTGAGGCAGGGACTTCACAATAGGTCTCCGCTCGGCACACAGCGCCGTAGGTCGCCAAGAGCCCCTGCGAGGTCGGGTTCCGCGTGCTGGTGCTCCGCGTGCACGTGCTACGTGGCTCCGACGACAGGCCGCACCTTGGGGAAAATGGCACCTGCAGTCAACTGCAGCACAATGTGACGGTCCTCAGCACGGCAAGACAGCGGAGCACCGAAACACTCCGTCGCTCCGTTGGGACACTCAGGTTGCAGTGTTGGGCGTGGCTTGGGCGTGGCTTGGGCGTGGCTTGGCCTGCGCCTGCCTGCGCCTCGAGCGAAGCTGAGAGCTTTGCAGGGCCAATCTCCACCATGACTCGACCTGGAACAGGTGGAACAGGGGCAGAAAACTAGTCGCCAGTCGCCGAAAGCGGCGTGAATCGCAAAACCCACCCTTTCCCCCTCTCTCCACGTTCTTGCGAGGCTTGTCGCACCTGCGGCGAGCACGCCGAAGAAGGGCCCGGAAGGCTCGGAGTCGGCGATGGGGGCCCACTCCTCGCCTGTCCTCCAGAGCAGAGACAAGTGCTCCAGAGTCCCGGCCCCGGCACTCCTCCGAGTCTCTGAGGCGGGCACTCCAGGTCCACACGCTCGGCAAGCAGCGCCTCCGGAGGCGAAAGAGCGCGAAGGAGCCTTTTTTCGCCGCCCCGCACGTGCGCTGAGCTGTGCGCGCAAAATCGCACGCACCCGGACGTCGCTCTTCTGGGCAAGGATGCCCATGGCGCACAAGGGGACTCCACACTCGACCTTCCCACCCAGGCGAGATGCAGACCCCAAGACGCAGAGGAGAGGCTTCAGCGAAGTTTCTCTGCACCTGGACCTGACACGGCATGACACGGCGACACCGGGGGCGCCGGGGGGGGCGAAGAGAAGGCTGCAGCTGCGGGTCTAAGCTCCCGCGCCGTGACCATGGAACTCTGGAAGAGGCCCAGGCCGTTGGTCTCGCGCAGAAACCAGACAGCTACGAAGAAGAAATCGGGTGGGAGGACAGAAAGCAAGAGGTGATCAAGAGTAAGATATGCGCATCGGAAGCAGGCCAGAAGAAGAGAGAAAGCACAGAACGAGCCGTCAGCGACCGCCGCCTCCCCGAAGATGGAGCCCTTGCGCATCACCCCGATCTCGTCGCGTCTTCACTTGGGCTGTCCCCTGACTATGTTAGCAGTGCACAGAGAGAGGGAGAGAGACAGACAGACGGACGGACGGACGGACAGACAGACAGACAGACACAGAAACCGAGAGACAAGACAGAACAGAGAGACAGAACAGAGAGACCGAGAGACAGACAGAACAGACAGACAGAGAGACAGAGAGTTAGCTCTTCAGAAGCCACAGAGCCCCGCGTTCAATTGTTGGATTCTTGCCTTTCTGTTCACATCTCATAACAGCAGTATTGGTGCTACTCGAGAAGACATGCGCTGAACACGAATACAACATCGAAGTATTCCCGTCAGTTTCTTCAAAAACGAGAACAAAGCTTGTCTTACTACTGGATTGGGTAAACGGATATGCAACTGAGTATCTATTTCTGCAAATGAAGAATCAATACTGCTTACTGTTTACCATCCGAGATTTACACAGTACTTACCCTGAGCATTCTAAACTTCTGTTGAAACCCAGGCAGTTCCAGGCTGGATGCGAACAAGTTCAGATACGGTTCTTTCCCGTCATGTTGAGACTCTGCATACTGCAGATTGTGATTACATTCTCTTCCTAAGCTGTGATCTACTGCCTAACTACCTTGCAAAGAGCACTTGACATCCAGAAACCAGTTCAAGTGTTACGTAAATAATGAGTGGTTAACTAGCAAAGCTTAGATACTAGATGCTGTGATATCGTAGTTGAACACTTATTATACATTGCTTATTGAATGTGAAAGAGTTCGTTTACGTATTACATGAACCCAGTGTCCATGTCATGGCTGGGTGCTACTCATGTCTGAGCTCGCAAGCAACAAACAAATATTACATGCTGACAACATCGTCAATAAACACAGTTGCTGAGAAAGCTGTCTGAATGCTATTTGGATGCTGTCAGCTTCGGGTATTGTGCAGCACTTGACTTGCAATTTAATCTTCAGGGAAATACTGAATAAGTGCTACTGCATACATACAAAAACGGAACTAATGCCCCAGGTTATGTACCAATCTGGAGACTATTTCCAAACTTTCCCAAAGTCCCCACTTGAAACTCGAGACAAACAGGACAAAGTCAGGACATATATCGCCAGACACATCCAGAATACTTGGATGACTGTTGAAAGTTTGGGAACGTATTGATGTTGTTGGATTTTCGGAAACTGTGGAATGTGTCAGGGGTCTTTCGGATTTCGGCGAAGCCTCCATTGATGACGCGAATCCCGAACTCAGGCAGATGGTAGAACTTCGGGTGGGGGTAGTACATGATCAGCTTGAGTGTGGAACTTGGGGTACCGCACAGATGAAAATGCTATGACCTGTTTGCGAGAGTTTGCGTGCATGCACAACAACTCCGGTGAAGTCTTCATTCATTGCTAGATAGCGACAGATAGTCTTCCTTATTGTATGAGTCTCGATGTTCCTATCTACCTATGTATCTACCCTTCCTACTTACCTACCTACTGTCTACCTCCTTCCTTACCCATCTTCTTTCCTACCTACCTGCATACCTACCTACTTCCTGCCTTTCTTCTTGCTTATTTACCCATCCACCTATCTCTCAAATTACCTATCCACCTGTCTATTCTCTATCCTTTCTACCTGTCTGCCTATCTGACTTACCTACATACCTGTCTGCCTGCCTATCCCTCTATCAACCACTTTATCTTTCTATCTCTTTATCTATCCCTACCTGCCTATCTGTCAAACTGAAACCTATCTATAAACACAGTTATGTATATCTGTCGAGATATACACACACATACATACTCATATATGTACACAATGCAAAAGGCTCGGGAAGATGACCAAGGCTGGCCTGGATGAAGATCATCATGCTCTCCAGCTTCTCGCCTTGAGATGTGAACGTCAAAAACTTCAGGTTCTGCCAGCGGAGGAAATCCCCAAACAGTAAAGGACCAAGACACAGGTCGAAACTTGTTGCCATCCTGTGATTTTCCATACTACCACAGTCAGCACCCACCCGCAGGGGACCCTTCGCTACCAAAGAGACGGGCAAGAGCAGCAGACCCAGGACACTGCCAATATGCGCTCTGGCGCATTCAGAACCATGCCCCGAATCCACACAGAATCCTCTGTAGATCATACGACGCCAGTGAAAAGTATGCAGGGCGTCACAGTGGGCCCTGTGCAAAGGAGGAGAAGGGAGTCAGCCGCGCGAGTCGGCAGCCGGGCGCGAGTCCAAAATGAGCATGATGAGTCAGGAATGACAGGGAATGCTGCGGAATGCAGTTCCTCACTGCGACTCGTGCTTTTCTAACTTGCGGCTTTCTTATCGACTCAGCCTCGGAGCGGCTCCTCACTGCAGTCCGGCAGTATTCCGGAATGGGCCGTTCCCGACTGCAGGGTCCAGTCGACAGACTCGGGGGAGTGTAGATGATGTGATGCGGGGACCAGAATTGCAACATTTACTGTGAATCATCGACCACGGAAAGCCCTTCTTGCCGCGCGTGCGACACGCGACCACCACAATCCCTTCTCTTTACCATTATAGCATGAACCCAATGGTCACTACACGGTTTGGTGAAAATTGAATGTCGATTCCTGAGAAGTGTTCTTCCTCAGTCAACGATGGTGTAAGTGCAAGCTTCTTCACTTGTTGCTTCCGCGGGCCTTTCGATGTCCGTGTGCACCCAGATAGAAACGTCGAAAGTCATCAAAAGCAGGTGTCGACACATCATCTGCGTGTGCCGTCATAGTGTGTTCGCTTCTGCGCAGCGCCGCCGTCAGGGCTCCCTCTTCAGACAGTCTCACGCGGGCCCCATTTCGCGATGGACTGTCAGTCCGAGCCCGTCGCCACATTTCACCATCAAGGAGTCGGGCTTGTAGGCCTGCTCCTGGCGAGGCGACTCGGCGACGCCCGGGGGGTTCGCGCCTTCCGCTTCTGCCGCCTTGAGGCGCACGGCCAAGCTGTGGAAGAAGGACGGCAGGCCTTCGAGGGAAGGACTCGGAGCATTGCGTTACCCTGTGCCTTCTAATTCTGGGTCGCCGCACTGCCCCCAAGCAGCGGAGTCTGTGCCAAAGCTGGGATTGCCGTCGTCTCGCAGAGAAACCGCGCGAGAGCCCACACTCTTCAGCGTCCCTCTGCCTCTCGTCTCGGGAGAAAACCGCCGTGCCTTGATCCACTCCCGCCGCTCCAGCTCGGTGCTGCGATTCTTCAGCTCCGTCTTGAGCCAAGCGCTGTTGAAGCCTCTTGTCCTATCCCCGCATTCGAGTCGGCACACAACCTCCTAGGGCGCGAGCCGCTTCCAGATCGATGCCAACTTGTCCTTGTCCAAGGGGAACCTCGGAGCATCGTGGCGAAGCGCGGTTGGAGAGCTTCGACGGCAATGACGATGAAACATGTGGCTGCTGCTACTGCCAGAACCACATCGTAGCGATCGCTCCGTTCGTTGAGTATTTTTGCAGTGTTTGCATCAATGCCCTGACTGTGCTTCCACTACTCAGGCTGCTCTTCCTGGTTTCCGGCCCACTTCATCAAACGTATTCGCACAAACATCAATACCACAGCAAAATCAAAATGGTCCCTATCATCGGCTCGAACGATCACAATCATAATCATCGTCGCCATCATCATTGGCCAGTATCATCACACCGACTGTACTTACATTGTCACGTAGGGCTTGTGCTGTTTTAGCACCATGGGCTATTGGCGACGGGCTTCAGGGCTTTGCATTACGTGTTGGAGCTCCTGATGTATACGGACGGCTCTCAGGCTCTAGGCTCTTGAGCCCTTGGTGTTTGTGGGTCTTGGGCTCTTTAGAATAGTCTTCAGGCTCTAGATTGCATTTTGCATGGGTATCGTGTCTTAAGTTAAGAATGTGTCAAAGTTTGAGACCTTGCGGCTATGTGGATGTTGGTTTTTGAGTTTGCTCCGGATTACTCCGTCACTGGCTCGCCGATGCACTGTGGCTCCGGCGCGAAGGCCACGGCCTTGACAACCTCGGACTTTCCCAACCCGAAGTGCCCACCTAACATGAAACCCGAACTTCGGAGACCCAAAGCCAAGGTCTCCCAAGGCGATCCCGACGATCCCTACGGTCGCATTTCTGCTCGGCTCCAAGCTGCGAAGCGCCGCGGCAACCCCTCAACCCCAGCTTGGAACCAAGGCAGTGCTCACTTAACTTCCACCCCTTCTGCTGCAGCTCCGCCAGCAGTTGCACAGCCCAGTCCCAGTTACATACATGTGGGTCTAGTTGACTCAGAAACATGGTCGAAGACAGACGTGCATGAATGTTCGATCCGATTCTGAAAGTTTAAACCCTTATACCAGTATACTTCTTATAATCACGGCCCGAGCTTCAGATTCTTTTCCAGTCTAAGCTCCACTGTTGGGCCGTGCTTGAGCCTTGGTTTGACCTGCGGTGAAACACTGGATTCCTGTATGTTTCTGTACATGAGGGAAAATTGAACTATCTGTTACGCCCTCATCGCATACACAGCTTTGTCGTGTAATGCGATCCTTGTGAAACTTTTCCTACATCCACCACGGTTTTCGCACGCTCCTGTGAGCTGTCTTCACTTCTCGCACGCTTCATCTTTTGAGCAGTTTTAACCGTCTTTGACTTCTTCCTTCTTCTTCCTTGTGTGCTTGTTGTGGATGTCGTTGGCTTCTAGTCCTGTAAACGGAAAACTGTTAAACTGACCATTGTTTTACAACAGTCGCACTTGCCAACTACAAACTCAGGCGCTCTCACTCTTTTCCATCTCGCGGTACACGAGGTAGTTTGTTCGGCATAACTCTTTTCAGAGTCTTTGCAAAAGAACTTTGGCTTTGTAAGCCTTCTGTACTGGCTCTTTCAGCCTTTTCTTTAAACACGATCCTTGTGCTTTGTCGTGGGACTTGAGCTTTTGCTCTTGATGGCGTTGGACGCCTTTCCGTGAAATTCCGCTCTTTTCTTGGAATCCACTTACAGCTTAGCTTCCCCTTTTCACATACAAGGATAGGCCTACTGCCCCTTCTTGCATTGATTGTGAAACATGCATCGGCGTTGTTTATACACCTGCCTTTACGGTGTTTGGCTTGGGCCTTTTGATCGCCCTCACGCGACTTGGTCCTGTAAACCGAGGATGTCTAGTGTAAATCCTCTTGGTTCTTCATCTTCTTGACAGCTTCCTCTTGATCGAAGCTGGAATCACGCTTCCTCTTCTTCTTGGTGTCTTTGTCCTTGCTGTCTTTGGCCTTATCAGCCTTCTTCTTCTTCTTTTCATCTTTCTTTTCATCCTTTTTCTTTTCAGCTGTTGCCTTACTCGGCTTCATCTTTTCTTCTCCCCAACTGTTCTGTGGCAGGTAACCACTTGCCTTATCAGCTTCCTTCATCTCTTGGAGTTCATCAGCAAATTTGTTGGGTTCACTTCGGATGTAAGCTTCAGCTTCGCTTCGGAAAAAGCAAATGTCTGGACTGTGCTTTCCCCAACCTTTGTATGGGGGTTCTTTGTTTCTGCAATAGGTATTAACGATCCAACAATACTTGCAAAAGGTCTTTCTTGCTTCGTCATCTTTCCTTGGCTTCGGCGCATCCGGGCAATATCGGTCGATGGCCTTGAACATCTCCTTTCACTTTGGTGCTTTGTGACCATCATTCCGCTTGCAGTAAAAACAGGCAAGTTGTCTTCCTCCATACTTGAGCCACTTTTCATTTACACTCTTCAGCTTTTCAGCTGGCGGCTCTCCTTCAGGTTCATTCGGCTTCATCTGCCCGATATCCACCTTCTTTTCCTTCTCTATCTCCTCCAAGGGAATATTCTTCAGCTTCTCCTTCAACTTCTCCTTCAAGGCTAACTGCTTTTGCAGTGTGTCTGCAGCTTTGAGCTCTTCATCTTCTCTGCTGCTCTTCTTGAATTGTTCAGGCAACTTCTTCGGTCGAAGTTTCATCGGTGTTCCTTTGACCGAAGATACCGACGGCGTCGCGGGGTTTGAACTCTGACTTCCTTCTCTCTTCCGCTTAAGGTTCGCCATCAGTTGGGCCAATGCTGCCCTTTCTTTCGTTTGCTGGTCTTCCGGTTGCTTGTATAGGTCCAAATCGAATTCTTGACTCACAGTCTTCAACAACTTTTCAGCTGTTTGAACCATTTCACCAAATGCTTGCAGTGCTTCTCTTGCAATCGATGCTCTTTCAACGTCAGCACGTGCACTCGCACCATCTTCTTCCTTTTCTCTGACAATTTTCGCCTTTTCCTCCAATCGGTCTTCCATCTCTTTCTTCAACTCCTTGGAAAACTTGTCCAGGTCCTTTTGAGCTTTCTTGAACTCCTTGTCTGCAGTTGCTTCATCTTTCATCAAGATCGATATGCTTCCACTAAACTCACCAACTTCTCCATCGAGCTTGGCAAGCAATTCGCTTGTCTTGATTCCAAAGCCCTTCGGCAATTTTCCGAATGGCTTACGGAGAATCTCAGACCACTTGACGAATTCGCGTTCGAAGTCTTCACTTGGCAGGTTCCTTTGAATGCTTCGCAGATTGACATTCTCTGATAGAGTCTGCCAAATTCCCATTTCATCCACATTGAACTCGGCCTTCAAAGCCTTCCTTGCTCTTTCTTCGCGCTTATCCTCTTCACCTGAGGTGTCAACCACTTCCTTTTCTGGGTCTGGCTTGTCCTCCTTGATCTCTTCCTTTTCGTCTTTCTTCTCTTCCTTCTCCACTTCTGCCTCACTTGCGACTTGGTTCGCCGCTGATACGATGCTTTGTCTCCTTTCCGTAGCTTCTTCTCTTGCCTTATTAAGCTCTTCCAACCGCTGGTCTATAACTTTGCCTTGAGCGAGGATTTCTTCCCTGCTCTCTTCCGATAAGACGATCTTCCCTGGCGCTAGGGCTTCAACTTTTTCCTCCATCTTGCTCTCGAGCTCATCTTTCTCCTTCATCAGCTCTTCGGCTGTCTTCTTGAAACTCTCCACGACTTCGTCCCTTTTACTTTTCTTATCCTTCTTCGCCTCTTCATTTTCATCATCTTCTTCTGTTGCACTTTCTCCTTGCTCCTCATTTCCTTCATCGGATTCTGAGTCCGATCCGGCTTCACTTTCTTCTTTCTTCTTTGGGTTCTTCTCCTCTTTGTCTAGGTTTTCGCTTGTGGCTTTGTCTTCTCTCTTCTCGTTCAACTTTTCCACAAGCTTCCAAACTTCCTCCACTGAGGGCCTTTCCTTTTGCTCTTGCTTCAAAAGACGTTCCACATACGTCACCGCTTCGATGCTCTTGCACTTGTCATCGATAACGACCTTCAGAGCTTCATCATCAGCCATTTCTTCAGCTTTCTCTTCTTTCAATCCTTTTCTCTTCTTCCTACCTCTTCCAAAGAGGTTCTGCTTGAGACTCTTGAGCAAAACGGCACAGGTAACGCATATGTACAACCATGCTGCAATCATGCACATCACTGCGCTTGCTCTTCCCAGTCCTTGTCCATTTTCTTCTTCACCGACTTTTCTTGCTTCAACCAACGATAACAACACAGCTGTCGTGACAGCCTGGATAATTCTTGTAATCACCTTTTCATCGAGTCTTGTGACACTTCTTGATCTTCGCACTTCAACTTCTTCTTGGACTTCTTGCACATCTTGTGTCAAATATTCACCTGTGTATCCTAGGCTCAGCATGTATTTCCTTATCTTCTCACGTGTCAACGATTTGGTGCCTAGGTCTGACGGATTGTCTTTTCCTGCTATCGCCTTTATAATTGCTAAACTTTTCCTGTGGTTCACACGCCTGCGGAGTCACTCAGTCAGTATTGGGCTCTAAAATACAGTGGAGCAAAACAAAACATACAGCATGCAAATTAGTTCAGTACGGCAGCATACAAAATGTGGTACACGTGTGGGTACAAACTTTAGCACCCCGCCTAAAGAGCGAGCTACTTCGAGAAGCTCTTTACACAAAGCTTGATGCTGCCTTTCCGTAAGACGAAACACAAAGTTTACACGCTCCACAGACTCCTACAGCTTCAGACGTTTGTCAGTTTCAGCGCTCTGCCTCAAAAGGTCTTTGGCGCAAAGCTACACTGTACACGTAGCTACAACTAGTTACCGCCACCTCCACAGGCACGGGCTGCCTGCGAAGTGACTGCTTGACTGACCCAAGCGGAGGCCTTTCCAAGAATCAAGATAAGCTCAGCATTCAAGTTCAAGGAGACGTAAGATTTGGATGCCTAAATGCATCGGGCGGCCTCAACCTGCCCCTTCGGACTCTTCAACCGCTCCACGGTTGCGACATTGCGATTGTTCAGTGATTTCAAGTATTGACACGCCAAAATGGCATGTGTAAGATGCCTTGCATATTTGCTGTTCCACACCAAGTCTATGTA